TTATTACTTGTGACCACTGAGTGTATAGTTAACCATGTATGTGACCAAATAATAAAAATAATGTGGCGCCATCTAGTGAATGATACCACAGATAAATATCCATAAAAAGTTTCACACTTTGGGAGTTCAAGATTCAGACTATTAGAAAAATAACTGCAGTATGTGCAACAACCATTTCTTTATCATAGAACACAATTTTAAATAAAGTACTCTCTTCACAACAAGAACATAACAGGACTGTACATGAGGGTTTGATTATATCTTTATTGATGTAATTTTTAAATGTAGTACTGAGAAACTGGAGTACTTGAAAAACCACTGTTAATATACAAGAATATTACAATTTATATCGGTAAAATTTATGAAAATTTGGAGCTCTGTACATTTAATCATTTTGATTCAATGGTTTGCATATGATTAAAGAGCACAATTTGAACACTTGTTCACTTTTCTAAATGTTTTCAATGTGGTATGAATACTATGATTAGTAATTAATAACAAAACAGCCACCCATAGAGCAGCTTTTATGTTAGCATATATAACTATTCAATCACAATTGAGTTTAATTTATCCTATTTTTGTCTGTTAACATTCAACTACACTGTGTGCCTGTGCTACTATGTAGGGATGATGCAAATGGCATCCCTATTATCTTTGCATTGTTCTTGAAGGATTGATATTAGCCATCCATACAAAATTATAGGGATGATACAACTATACATTTTTCACATGTTCTTTCCAAGATTATGACCAGTAATGATTAATAATCTACTGTAGCCAATGGTATGATATAATATCAATATCTGAGGTCATTCTACAAATGCAATGAAGAAACTGACAAAACTGATATGATATTAACGATATATATATTACCATTGAATTATAAAAATAAAACAAATGTTCACTATCAACCTACTTCAATAAAATTGTTTAAAAAAACATGAGAAAACAAGTAATAATTTTTTTTTGTTGCAAAAATTAAGTATGATGTAGGGATATAGGGAATACCAAAATGTACAAAAACAAGGTAGGGGTGAATACAAAAAATCACTACACAAGTAGCCAAATCTTTCCAAGAATAACTTTTACCTGCAACTAAATGTTGAATTCCTGTCATTTACGTGACCTTAGGTTTAAATAAAAACATTTAAAAGTGAATAGAGCTATACAGTCTTACAGTGGCTAATAAACATAAGCTTGTAAGATTGACTGAGTACTTACTGACTACTTATGTAAGGATTTTTATATGGTTTTGTATGTTCATCCCTATATTATTTCTGTACTTTTTGGCAATGCCATCCCTACATCACCATGGCCAAGTGGTTAGGGTGCTCTACTCACAATATGTGGGTTGCAGGTTAGAATCACCATCCCACAAAATATGCTCATCCTGTCAGCATTGGGGGAATTATAATTTGACGGTCAATCACACTATTTGTTAGTAAGAGAGTTGCCCAATAGTTGGCATTCTTTAACTGCTAAATTAGGGTTGACTAGTTCAGATAACACTCGTGTAGCTTTGCATGAAAGTCGTACCAAATCAAACCTTACATCATACTTAATTTATGCAAAATTATTTTTTATTACTTGTCTTTTCTGTTGTTTTGGGACTGGTTTTGTTGTATCTCTCTGATGTGTACTTTACAGTACTTGGTGAACAGCTGAGGTCTTTTGCAATTTTTTAAACCCCAACTAGCACCGCGTAAAGATTTGAATCTAACTCTGTCAGAGGGTGTTATTTCTTTCTGGTTTGGCATTTTAATGGCAACATCACACTATATTAGCTGTACTAGACAATGATTAAATAAAGCCATATGTACCTACATGTATCTGCATAAAATATATACTCAAATTGTAAAAACCTTAAATTTATGTCAGTATTGATTGGTATAGAAACTAAAGGCAGTTGTGTGACATTTTTGGATCACTTTGTATTTAGACTAGACACCTAAATCTACACTTAATCATTTTTGGTGATTTGTTGCTTTTTAGATAATGTGAGAAAAATCAATAATTTCTTTATTTTGCTGTTTTTTCCAAATTTGAAACAATATTGGTTTTATTGGCACAACAGATCAAACTTTAGGAGAAATTAAGTGTTCTAATAAGTTTGTACTTTACTGTACCTTTAATAATAAAGAAAAGTTAGTATTATGGCATGAATCGTTTATATGTCACGTTTTGTTTGACTGATTTTATGGTTCATGAGAATTTTGTAGTTATCGTATTTGATTTTTATACAACATTGTTCCATTATGGCAGTATCATACTATGAAAATCAACATTGTACAACATATGTAAAATGTGACATAATCAAGATATGTATTAGTGGATCGACAGGCAATTTACTAATTGTTGTTTGAACTCATTGGACTGTTCTGAATTAGTCATCAGGTATAATGTAAATTTTTTGTTTCAGTTTGCATGTCATTAATTAATAGCAGCAGAAAATTTAAATATGCTTTTTCACAATTAAATACACACACATAAAGTCTTTTAATTTATTTTCATTATATCTAGGCATCTTAAGTAGATACCCGCTTGATGATTACCAGAATTTTCGTCTACCAGAATCAGTTCCACTGTTCTGTCTACCCATGGGAGCAACTGTAGAATGCTGGTCCAGAAATGCCCAACTACCCCGTCCTGTATTTTCTACGTTTGTTCTTACTTCTGACACTGCAGAAAAAGTAAACATCATTCTTTTCTATGTTTTTAATGTAAAATATGTAGTAAGCCTGTTCTTGAGAATTTTTTTTTCATAGGTTTTCCTTGAGTGTTAGACAGGGTTGTCAACTTGTAACAAACAAAATGTACTGACAAGTATAAAATCTTTTACCGATACTCACAATTTTCTTACTAACCTAACAGAACATTAACTCACCAGTGGCAATGTGAAGGAGATGTGAGGATTGGCAGGAGCCACTTTAAATATTTGTCTGCTTGTCTTAATAACAAAAAAACACAGTTTCTGTAAGCACTGTGTTAGATTATAAAAGAAAATGAACATTCCAAAACATACATATCTCCATTGACACTAATAGCTATTTTTCGATCTTCATCTTTGCCATCTAACGGTGTGTTCACTTGCTCTAGTCTTTATATACCCCACTCGACTGCCCTCGGCAATATCTAATTTGCAAAACTTTACGCCGGCCCTCACATGCCCTTTATACAGGTACTGTATATAATCACTGTATGCAGACAATAAAATCACTTTTTCTCGGCAAAGCGCGAGCATTCAGACTAACGTTTTGTAATTTACATTTCTTAGTTTTCGCTTTCTAATAATCAGGAATTCTTTGTTTTGTTATCAAGATATCTATTTCGTTGAATTTGTTTTTTTCTACAAATATATATATATATATATAAAATTGGATATGAATTTCCATGTAACGGTTTCAAGCATTGGGGCTACTCAGCCTTCGTCTATTCACCCTTTGTTATTTTATTGTGGTCAGCAGTCGGGTGGGGGGGGAGCTGTCCGTGACCTGAATCGGGGTGAGATCAAGTTATTCATGCGGCCCAGGGATATCTCTCCGGGAGGTGCTTATTTGAATTTTCATTCTGAAATGAGATATTCTGGGGAGAATTTAGACTCCCTGCTTCTTCTTTCACTAGAGTTTCCTCTCCTGAGGATTCATCTGATCAGCCATCTTCTGCCCCTTTTTCTGCAGTTATTTACACGTGTTTGTGAAGTTTTGGAGATACAACCAGTTGCTTTTGAGTCTACCCCTGCTTTGTTGTCCGATTGTTCTCAAGGGG